ATACTTGCTTCATTATCCTTCCGCTAAATAATACTTATAAATCATTAAACAACCTACTTGAAATTCTGTGCACTTACCTCATTATTCATTATCCAGCTGCCAATTCATCGTCAGACTAAATTATTCAACTTATTCTATCAAGCTATAAACGAACACAATATGTCTTTAGCTAAATTGTTTTCTGCTTGCTTTTCCGTCCTCTAGCAATTTCCCGGTGAACTGCATATTAATGGCTCTTCATTCCAAGATACAAGCTCGTCCGACCTCAAAGCTGGTGGAGACTTTGCGTTTCATAAGGATCAATGCCAAGAATTTAAAGCCCTTGAGACCGGAGATCATCATTTGGTGGAGACACAATTTCCCTATGAATCTTACTCAACGAGCTTCGTAACACCTGATCGGCTGTCGGATCGCCTAATTGATGCCGTTAGTTTCAACAGAACCAAAGCGTCATTATTTCACGTTCTTAATCTTTTTTTAATATTCTGCTTTATTAATTTTATCCATAACATTTAATTAATGCTGGAATCCATTACATTTTTATTAATACTTAAACTAAACTTTTTAGCCTCTTAATGAAGCTGATAACACTAATCAGCGGTTTGAGGATTCTCAAGTAATGTACACCTCACCACAAATAAACTGGGGACATCCTCTCGGCTTGCCGGCGCCGGCATTACCTAGCCTTGATGGTAATTTTTTAAATTTTTCTTCTCAATTCAGCGCATTTGTATATTCCATCTTTGATCAGCTTCTTTTATACTTTGAGCACGCCGTGTCCCTTCTTGATAATTTTTTTGTGAACTTCAAAAAGTTTTTCGACTTTAGTCACCTTTCTTTCCACCATTGAAAGTCTTTGTCACTGAGGCATAAGTAAAGAGCTAATCTTATGCTGCAAAATCAAGGTGAAGGAGATTGGACTAAATTAACTTTCTCTATATATATAATCGTTATTATAAGATCGTTTCCTCTTTTCCCCAACATTTCTGTATGGAATCTATTTTAATCTTCCAGATACCACTTTTCCTAAAAATGTTATCCTACAATTAATTAGCTAGAGCAATACGTGCGAATGCGACACTTGAGATTTTTTCGTTAGCATAATCTTTATTCTTTGGGTAGCTGAGTACATCTGATTTAGAAATATTCTCTATCTGAGGAATTTCTCTTGAAATTTTCTCAATTTAATTTATTTTAATCAAAGTTAGAAGGGTGTCAATTATGTGTATCTTTTTGTATACTTGTGTATCTTCAATTCGTAGACTGCAGGAAGTCGTGAGTTCATCGACCATCTGTCGATTTATGCGTCCTTATGCTTATCCTTAAGCCTATCGCGTAACGTTCTTTACTCTATATTTGGATCTGTCTTTGGTGCACGATACGTAGTCCTGTTTTGTAGTATAATCTCCATCTTCTTGGTATATTGTTTTCTGTCCATTATCGCTGCCACTCTTTCAAACGCCTGCAGGGCCGCCTTTATTACATATCATTTAGTACTCTTTGTTAAAAAATTCCTGATCCAATATTACTTCATAAGATAATTATTTTGCACCAATATACTTAATTATTTTTCGAATAATTTTATAATTTTAAAGACTAATGGAATCATCCAAAAATGTGTGTATATTATGACATAACCTAGAACTTTGCGACTACTCTATATACTTGTTATTTCTTAAATTTCCTTTCTTATTGTTAGTGCTAGGTGGACTTTTTATCAAGATGCCTTTATGTACAATGCAATTTTTGCTCTACTTTTTATTGCTTTTGTTAGCATTTCTCAATGTCTGACTTTTTTATTTAAAGGCAAACCTACAGCTGTTGCCAAAACGAGTAAGTCGCCAATTAATTTAGAATTAATTTGGTTTGTAATGCTTTAACGTCATTATTTCACGTTCTTAATCTTTTTTCAATATTCTGCTTTATTAATTTTATCCATGACATTTAATTAATGCTGGAATCCATTACATTTTTATTAATACTTAAACTAAACTTTTTAGCTGTGACTTGTTTAGAGTTTATTTGTTCGGCGTTCTTGTTGGTTATTTCCAGTGGTGTTGGCAATTTGGATCATATTTACTTGGACTTTGATGTAGTCCCTAGGCAGAGCTAAGTTTCGTTATTTTTAGCTTCGACTTCTTTAGTGGTATTCGGCATTCTATATAATGACTATTCACGTTTGAACTTTTTTTTTGAGTAATTGTCAAAAAACAGTTGCATTTTATCTGTACTCTGCCATCTTGTTAGGCATTTAAGATATCATCCAAACTTCTAAGTATATTGAAGTTGTTTGACCTTGTTTTCGCAACTTGGTCATAATGGTAGGAAGACTGATAGAAACGCACC